AAAAAAAAAAAAAAAACATTACTGAAGCCGTTTCCTATCCAATACTGCATCCAAGCAAACTATAACCTGAAAGCACCACCCAATTACAAGAGGGATCAAGGTGGACAAAATTGAGTTAATGACTTTATCTGCAGGGGGAGCGAGTGAGAGAGAAAAGACAGTAAAGTGATGGGCATAGAGAGTAGCAGGAGTTCAGAGACATGACCTCAAACAACCCTGCTCTGCCTTCCACTGTTTTATAGCAAGTCACAACTCATCAATTTTGATCCAGAGAACCAGCGCAAAGAGGAAAAGACAGTCCCCATTAATGCCTTCACACATTGTCTATGGGTGGTGGCTGGTGGTTCTGCTGTTGATGTAATAGTACAGATTACATTTCCTGCCAACAGAGGCCTGAAATCAATACAAACCACAGTCCAAAGAGATGAGAGGCTCTGAACAGCCATCCATGTGATGTTAATGTCCTAACATGAGGTCATCAGAAAGCCAAAGGTCGACAAAGGAGGGGAGTCACTGATAACTAATGGGCTTTCCGTGCCATGCAGTCATATTAATATTTAGAGCAGATGCCGTAATATGCCCATGCCATTAATGCACTGAGCATCTGCAACATCTGTTTTGCCAAAACTGGAAGTGTAAACATGAGCTTGAGGGGCTTTTGGAAGCCACACCTACTCCATCTACAACCCCCTTTCCTACATCTAGTAAGTCAGTGTTGTTTTTTGTTGCACTTTGCTTTATTGAATTTGACACATTTATATAATACACCAGAATATTCAACAAAATAAAAAGTATATCCATTATACTTTAATCAAATCAGTTTATCCTTAAAAAAATGACATTTTTATTTTACTGATCTACTGGACACATTGTAGTTTAATTATACAATCTTTTGTCTTTGCCCCCCCACCACAGTCCCTTTCCACTCAGATCACTTCAAATGGTGTAGAGTGAGATGGATAGCTCCTGCAGTACCTTGTTTGGTTTGTAGCCTGTCCAAAACTAGCTGATTTACTCCTTCCACAGAGGCACACACATTCCTAAGGCTTGTGTGGACTTTGTTATCTCCTTGACAATAAAGAGTCAAGGCATGAATCAACTCAGTGCAGTCTGGAGCCTAGCGGTAGCTGTGCAGCCAGTTTTTGGCTCTAATGCTCTAGGCACCCACTGTCAGTGTGACAGATGCCATGGGTCTTTCCTGTTGGAGTAATCCTGCTCCCTGCCAACACTGTTGGTGAGAAATGACCGTTTCATCCCTAAAGGGATAATGCAAAAAAATTTGAATGCATTTTCGATTGCAATTTTGCTTTTAGCATCCCAAGTCTACATATCCAGGAGAACTGCCCACCAGCAATTCTGTCCATTTCCCATGGTGACCCTTTGAATATTAATCATCTTATAAACTGTTCAGCAACATGACATGGGCTGCATTTTATTGTGCATGCAGGTAAATGATAAATTAGTTTGAATTTTAGATGGATGTGGAAGTTTTAAGGAGGACTTAAGGAGTTCTTGGCCAAATTCCCAGCACTGTGCATGTACAGAAGGCAGGGGGGAAAGGGATGAAGAGGCAGAGAAGAGAGAAGGGAAGAGGGGGTGGGGTGGACAAGAACGGATTGCTCAGTCAGTGCAAGGACACCACAACCCATCATCGGAGGAGAGTGGACCAAAGCAAATGTCAGATCTGACAACATTTGGCTTCTACTCCAGTTATTAATCTTAATCTGCTTCAGAGGACTGGAGGATGTCTCTGTCCCAGTGATGTTGTGTCTGTTACATGGTGTAGCTAAGAAACCCTGAAATAAATAAAACATTCCTGACTTCACTGTTCATGAGTGTTCACAGACCCAGCACTGCTGATCAATCAGATTTTATTCCCACTGTTCCCAGGCACCGATTCCATTTTTTTAAAAGCTCATAAGTCTAACACAATCATCAAATCCTATGTACCCTTCATTCACTTTCTCCATTGGTAAAATTATTTTTTAAATGATTTATTACTTTAAGTCACTTCTCCTGTTGGAAGAGAGAGGTTCGTCTCAGGCAGTGTGCTGCTACTCAAGTCCACATGAAATATTTACATGTACGAAATTGTCAATATGGCTTCCTCCTGCAGGATAGTTTGGCTAACAATAACTACTGTTTTCATAGCAGTATAATAATACAGTACACAAAGCAGAGCTGAAATTACAAGCAACAGGAGATCCCTTTTGTGTAGGTCTTCCCCCACCACCATTAAAGCCTGTTGTATGCATTTCTATGAAAGATTGGAGCAATAAAGAAGAATACTGCTGAATAGTGTGAACCAGAAATAATCTTTAAAGAAAAAAATAAAAAGATACAAATTTGGGGAAAATGCTTTATACATTATTAAATAGTAGGACGATTTCTAAACGCAGTCAGTTTCTCAGTCAGGAGCCATTTAAAGTTTAAACAATCATAATACTGTACAGTCACAGGGTAAACTGATTTCAGTGAATTTAAGTAACTATTATTCTGACCAGAACCGGCAGCAGGAACTCATGTGCCGCTACACAAAATATGGACTACAGTTTACATGCAGAGCTTAAGAAAAATTTGTCTGTTCTCAAAGAAATTTGTGTCTGGGTGAAGAATTCACTTGAAAGGAGGCTGATTATTGCTCACACATACTCTTCGTGCATGCATGTGTAGAATCCAGTTGTGTGGATAACACTGTCTGCATCCTATTAATGTATAAATTAATGCATAACACAAAAATATAAACCTAAAAAGTTGTCATAATGGGGGAGAAAAAAAAAAATCAGAGAGCGAAGATGAATAGCTGATTAACCAAAAACCACATCATCTTCTCTCTGGTCTGGGAGTTTGCACCATTTCTCCTTTTTATATCATTGTAAAACAAATATCACTGAGTTTTTAGACCTGTGATCTTAGATGGATTCAGCCACCGCATCTTTTGGAATAGTAATGCAAGGAGGAATCCACTGATTAAAAACACAGACAACACAGTATTAATAACTTTGAATATTCAATCTCAGCAGCTAAAGCTTAATGAACTTCTGAGATTAAGGGAAACTGAAAATATGATTTAACGAAAAAAAAAACCCATCTCTGAGCAAGTAATAAAATGATTTAGCATTATTCCTTTCCATCCTCAAGCCTAGTACAAATTTTTGCACCAGTTTCACAAATGGTACTGAGACTAGTGAGAGTTTATAAACAGGTATCTACAGCATGATAGTTACTTTCAGCCAAATAAGAACATAATGGGTCTTTGTTGCTTAAAGGAATGACAATGCAGCACATTATTCCTTTATTCAATAAGAGGGCATTAAGAGGAAAGGCAAGGGGAGATCAAATCTAATCAAGCCTCTCCATACAGAACATCACATCCTGTAGAAAGATGTTGGATTGGTCTATTATGTCCAATTCTTTGTGAAGTATAACAAAAGAACTCTTCATTTGTGGAGGTCTCACAAAATCAAAAACTTTGCAATGACTCGTTTCTCATGCTTGGGCTTTCAGGTAGCAATCGTTCTACACAGTACATAATAAATGCATAACAAAAGCTTACTAGTAGAAGTGACAGCAGTGACTGGGTCAACTGCTAAATTCTACAGCACACAAAAGGATCATTCGTGCTTTGTTTAGTCCAACTAGAGCGCTCTATCCAAACCACCAACCCAGTATGAGAAGGGATTATGATCCAAGTCAACAGCTCTCTGCCCTGGGGAGGTGGGTCTGGTTTCTGCCAGGGGGGTCTGCCCATGACAAAGCAGTAGTTCTTCAGTATCACTGGTTCTGTTAAGGCCCTCTGTTTCAGGTTATTTCTGCTAACATGACTCACACACTTGAAGTGAAATTTGACTCAATAATGGCCCAAAGACCACAATGAGCATCGTTCTTCACTGCTCCTTTTCAGGGCATTGAGATAAAGTCATCCTCTCATCCAGTTTGAAAGGGGATTACAAAACTCTCATGTCAGAGGGAGATCAGAGAAAAGGAAGACATGTATGAAAGAAACAGAAGAGGATGGAGGAAGTAAGAGAGGAGTATCTGTTAGCACACCGCTGATAAAATAAAGGGGCTTTCCAACCACATTTTCACAGACTGTGCTACTAGACTTGTAAACTGCTGGAACCTGTTCCCAGTTTATGACAGAAAGCCATACCTTGTGGTTTTTGATGCAGCAGGACCAGCAGCTTTAGCTGTGGTCAAAGCACTGGTTTTTGGAGCAGTAGAAGGGGCTCTGCTGGCAACAGCTAAAAACAAAAAAACAAACAAACAGAAAAGACAATGAGACGACACAGAAATCAGAATAAGACAGTTTATTCATCATACCTTATTTAGAGGACTGTGTTGAACCTTAAGCTGTCACAGCTCCTTAAGACTCACCTGTAGTTTTGGGTTTAGCTCCATTAACAGTCTCCGTTGCAAGTTTCTTCTTAGGTGTGCCATTCACTGATGGTTTGGTACCATTTGTTACTGTGGCAGCAGCAACAGAGGTAGTCCTGGCAAGTCCAGCAGACCTCTTGTCAGGCACTCTAGTTTGGTTCTTGGCTGTTGTGGAAACTGCTGATGTACCCAGTGGTCTTTTGGGTACAGCTCCTGCTAACGAAGATGTTTTTACCGTAGATGTTGCTGCAGTCTTCTTGCCTGGAGCAGCAGAAACACCGGAGGCAGATCTGACATCATTCGCAGTGCGATTTGAGGCAGTACCAGGCCGTGAGCTGGAAGCCCCAGCAGAGGCCAAAAGCTTCGTTTGAGGCCCACCAGCTTTTGGTTTAACTTTGGCCTGCGCAGGCACTGGTTTGCCATTGGCCTTTGGAGCAGCTGTTAATGCAGTATCATTTGCTACATCATCTGCCTGTGATGGGGCTTGTTCAGTTATGTTTTCTTGTAATGAGGAAGGCTCTGTTACAGTAGCAGCTTCACCTTCACTGGGCTCTGTGGTTTCCATGCTAACCCCATCCGGTTTCATACCCCACTTCAGAAACGTGTGGATGCTGCTAGAGTTGATGCCGATATCTACGTCTACGGGCTCACACCTGTCCTGAATGGTCAGTTCCTCTTATCCTTAACAAGGACGTCCTGCTGAAAAAGAATACAAAAATGTGGGTTAACCTCCAAGCTCAGTTTTGACTACACTAAATGTACTTCAACTTAAAGCTGAATTAAACTATGCTGCAATATCATGGATTCACATGATAAATATGTCCCTGTCAGTCAAAGGAAACTGTAGTTATGGTAAGGGGCCTCAGTGGAATTTGGGAGAGTTTAAGAAACACAGGGAGCAAGCAGCCTGAGATGCCAACAAATATTCTCACTAAAAATCACCCTCCTCTAGAGTGACTACTCCATCAACTAATGTGGCACAACCATGACAATAATGCATCAATAATGGCCAAGAATCTACTTAAACTAAAGGCAATTACCATTAAAATACCACAATAAAGAGAAAGTGAATTGCTTTAACTGTACATTTTAGGGGAAAAAAAAAAAAAACACAAAAAAAAACACAAAAAAACCCAAACACCACACCACTGCTCCAAATTGCTTCCAGCAGCTTAAAACTCAGTGGTGGAAAAAAATAAAAATCTGTGGTTTGGAGAGCTGAAAACCAGGAGAGGTTTTCCTAGTTGAGAGCCCACAGGCGATGAGACGGTGGGAAACGAGCATCAAATAACCCATTTGTTGTCGATAGTTTTGTGTTGAACAGATGCAGTGTAATACAAATATCATCCTATGACTGTTTAACAGTTTTAGTGCAATGGCAAAAATGCAGACAGAAATTGTGGAAAATCAGAACTTGACATTAATTATAAAAGAAGCTGTGGTGAAGAAGTGACGAAAACAAAGCCCGAGGGGCAATCTGGAGATTGCGTGCTAGTCGAGTCGCAGATCTTTAGCTTATTAACCATCAAACTGGAATTTATATTGCTATGACGGGACAAAGCTGTTCCCAGATGCTTAATGGATTTATCCCCTCCCTCAATCATCCCTTTTACCCACAGGCCCCGTGTCTTTGCCCTTTTGACCACAGAGCCCTCTACCAACCCCCTCCTAAACACTCATCTCCTGGTTTTCTATAGCCCCCCACCCACCCCCCTTCTCTACTTCCCCTGCATTTAGATCTAGAACCAGTCAATTGCTATACAGATGGATGATCTAGCAAGCAGAAGTCCTGCATGGTACAGCAAACAAACTGGGCAAATGAATAAAGATGGACAGGAACCCCCCCCCCCCAGCAAATATCTTCTAGAAAATGGTCAAATAGTTAAATTAGGTAAACCAAGAGCAAAGCTGCTTTTCCACTATAGAAACTTAATGACCTGCATTTTATGGCAAATGCACTCTCCTCTACTCTAAATATTTGTAAAAGTCCTAAACCCCTACAGATAAGCAAAAACATCTGACATAAACTAACAGTTCCAAGGAGCAAGAGTTTCCACAGACATCAGATTACTCAGTGCATTTATAAAGCCACACTGTGTACAACAGCATGCACTACAGTAACTTTTTTTTTCCCCCCCCCTGTCATTTTTTCGGAGATCCCAGACTTTTTTCTCCCACAGCAAGAAGGTTAAATATTTACTTTTCGATATCAAGTCTTAACAATAACTACTGATTCATGCCTCTAAATGCAAATTCATCATGGACTATTGGTTGGAAATTCTGGAGGAACTTGTTTGACTAGTCTGTTTAGAGTTTTTGGTGTCTTTAAACCAAACTAAACTCCCCACCACAACCCCCAAACCTGCCGATAAAAGCTACAGAGTCCTTTTCTGTGTTACTTTTAAATAACTGACCCAACCCATTTGCTTTGCTAACTTCAGATTTTAACGGTTGTTTCAATCTACTCCATATGTTTCCTTCTCTGATTCTTGTGGCTAAAAATCTCAAAGTAAGCAAAGTTGGGAGAGAGCAATGCACCGAATGTAATTTTGTGTCATCTCATGGAAAACATCAAGCTTCACATGAGGATTAATTAGCCAAATGTGCAAAGCTCTTAGAATAGTGGTATGCAAATTAAATACCAAATTAAGTTTGTTTTCACATCCCCCTCACCACTTCTCAGCCATTTTAATATATTTGCACTGACATTTATTGGGGTGTAGCTCTTGGAGGAGACGTTCTGGTTATTCTTCTCAATAAACTTTACCCAGATTACTCAGACAGTACTGTACTTGGCATAGTTTTGCCAGTCAAGCTACTAATGCTAGGAGCTTAGCAAACAGAAGCTCAAAGCACATTCCTTCTGAGATGGTGACCCTGTTTCGGGCAACGTCTTGATGCACGCTCAATCATCCAGGTAAGTAAATCTCCAAAAGTTGATTCTGTTCATCTGGACGTAGCGTTTTGTGGGAGAAACGTTTCGTCACTCATCCAAGTGACTTCTTCAGTCTCAGCTGTATGAACAGTACATTTGTTTCAGTCATTATGCAAATGTACTGTTTATAAGATTGGGGAAACCTGCAGTCAGCTGAGGCTGAAGGAGTCACTTGGATGAGTGACGAAACGTTTCTCCCACAAAACGCTACGTCCAGATGAACAGAATCAACTTTTGGGCAAGTAAAAGGCATCATCTGTGACCAGCTGACTCTTTGTGACGTAGCACAGATGGGAAGCGAAAAGATATACAAACTCCCAGCCGCACGGTCGTGCAGAGATAAGCGATGTCTTACGGCGAGGTTGCTCTGCAGAGCAACTTTTGGCCAATTCTGCTCTTTAAATTCATTATTTTTTTTATTTAGAACTGAAGATTTTGTGTTCGAAATTCAGTTCACTGAAGAGCCATAATCCTCATGAGTGCAGCGTACCCTTTTCTAGTCAACATCACTCAATATGCCTGACATCTAGTACATTTTGCAGATTTTGTGATGAAAGCAAATGCCTGAAGGCTAACAGACTGCAGCAGTGCATTTGGCCAAAAGCAGGAGAGGAGCGTGTTATTTAATGCAGTCATTACTTTATTAGACTGTTAGAGGGAGTGTGTCTAGACAGAGCAAGAACTCTGTAGTCTTTGTGGCATTTACATTGCACTGCAATAGAAATATGTGTCATTACATTTTATTTCGGACTTCTGTCTTCAAGCAGTTTAATTGCATCTGTCGTAACCCATCTCTCAGTCTCGCCCTCTGCACATCCAGACGTTAGAAGTGGTGCCTGACAAAATGGGTCACTTTTAATACTGTGTTAATACAAGCACAGGGGGATTTAGCTGTGTTTAGAGCACGACAGAGGTTTGGGATGCATTGTGCAGACTGCTGAAGGTGATCTGTTGATAGAGATGCTGTCAACTGCAGATTTACACCAGACTGCTAATGATGCTGTAAATATGAAATATCAGAGACATAAATACACATGACAGACTGTATGCTTAGAAACTGTAGATAAATGGGAAAAAGCCAGTGAAGTAAAACAGGAAAATATTCAGCTATTTAATGCACAGTTGTCCCCTACGCATTTTGTTGTAACTCATTCTATGCGTCACACAGCCGTGAGGATTGTGTCAATACATCTAATATTGTGCATTCTGGACTGCTAGCTGAAAAAGCAGTGTGTCAGACACTGGGCTATAAGACTTAGAACTGAACCCCACAGTTAAATCAAATTATTTAAGAAAAAGGATAAATCCATAATGCAAATGTGTTAGTGCTACATGAAACTGACCACATCAGTTTATTAATGTTGAGCTTTTACTTTATGATCCATGTCGATGCTGCATCGTCTTCAAAGTGAAGAATAAAAGAAAGTTAAGGCCTAAAAGCTGCAGCAGTATCGAGTGCACATCCGCCCCATCCACATTCCAGCTCTGACTTCCTCAAGACTCCTTGGGGCTACGCAACGACAGCTGGCTGCGTGCATGTCCGTTTATGTGCATGAGATGAGTAACAGTGCAAGGGTCAAATGGAGAGTGATGAATGCGTGGGCTGTGTGTACATGCACAAAGATGCAGTGTATGAACGAGCAGAGGGTGCAGGTTCAAAGTGTGAGTGACATGAAAATATCCATCGCCGTTAATGAGACAGCCAGAAAAAAGTGAAAACCAGAATTTGCTGGCCTGCCTACATTCCAGCAATTCCACAGGCACACTTGATTCATCGCTGCATTCTTACTACAGCCACACCTTCGGAGATTGTTTTTCAAGCAAACGGAAGCTGCCGTAGTGAATTTGACCGTTGTTTCAGGCCTGGGAGTGTTCAGCACTAGAGTGAAGTAGGGCCAAGTATACAAATGGGTTGACTGATCATTAACTTTCCTCTGGTGTGAGTTTGAGCAAGATGCATGTACGACACAGGAAAAAACACAGGCGGTATTCAGTTCAAGTGAGAGCCCAAATGAGTGTGTAAAAAGGGCAAACAGGAAGAGGGTGTTCGATTTCTGGCACTCAAATTACAAGAAAAACAAATCAAGACATTTAATGGTGTTTGGGGAAAGGCAGGGGTTTTCCTAACCTTGAGCTCAGGCTTCATCCTCATAAAAAAAAAATTAAAAAAAAATTAAAAAAAAATGAAGAAACCTACTCTCATTCACTCAATCCTACTGTACTCACCACTTCATAAACCTTTAGGATTTACAGAACGAGCCTTCAAACAAGAATCTAAAAGTAGGTAGGAAAACTGAGTCCAAGTAAACGGGGGCTGTGTGTGTAAATCCATGCTTCTCTTGACCATACAAGGTAGTAGTGGCGTTTCTGCTTCATCACCAAGTCAGTGTTTAGTTCACAGAGAATGAAAAGGAAACCAATTGGCTCTTGGAAAACAAACGTCTTAACAGTTCAGTGTCTGTGCATTAAGCCACTCTCCCCATTCAGAACCACTGGATGCTGCACAATTACAAACCACTGGTGAGTCAATATACCTCCACATATAATTTCCTGTCAAAATTTCTACATATCCAAGAAGGAAATTAATTTCAATTTCAATTTCAATTTTATTTCTATAGCACATTTAAAAGTCACAGGTACAACAAAGTGCTTCACAGACGAGCCATATTTGCAGATTTACAACAAAAGAGAACAGTCAACAACAAAAAATACAGTTATAGAATGGTAATATTACAACAAGCACGAACCGGGAGGAAATTATACT